CCCCCCCCCCCCCCCCCCCCCCCCGTCATTAACAAGCTGCACTGCCTCACCATGTGAGGACGACGCAGAGTTTTCACAGCCACCGTCCTTCCATCCTCACATCGTTGTGTCGTGAGATCACAGACCGGGGAGGAGGATTTCTCCAGTCAGGTTGTTCGTCATCACTCTTTCACACCCTGCTAGTTCTCACTGTGCTTTAGGTTAGGTTACGTTTACAGTTGTTAATGCAGAGAACTCCAAAAAGCATGTTCTTACCACATGGTCAATCCCTCCTGGCTGCTGTAGTAACTCTCCAGAGTTTTACAATCCTGTGTTATATTACAGCATATATGTTTCTCAAATATACTGTTTCCTCATCAAAATGTACCCCCCCCCTGCCTGTTATCACTTCAACAGGAGTGAAACACTGTTCTTCCTGCAGCACATACCTGTAGCTCCCCCACATAGAGACCTGTGCGTTAAAACAACCAAGGTTCTGATGCAGAAGAACACAAGATAGAATAATAGTGTAGAGTTGAACTTAGCCCACGTTTTGCAGCATTATCTTGCAATGCACATCGTAGGCCGATCAAATGCAGAGTTTTAAACTCCTTCCTCAAAGGACAATAAAACACTTTGACATCTGTCATATGCATTTGATTACTGTTGGAGGGCATTCATCATCTCACCACTCAGCAGCCTGTTCAGTCCAACATTACACTCACACCTTATTCACTGGATGAGACCACTGTGTTGGCACAGCGGGGTCCCGACTCAGAGGGCTTTGGGAGAAGACATGGCAGAGAGTTGAACCTTTTTCAACTTCCATTCATGGCCACGTCATCCCGTAAGCTACGCTTCAGGCTTTGCACGTTCCTCGAGGATCATTTGGTAACGTGAACGAGTTCATTTCACTCTGTGCTTTGTGATTGTTGGGACTGAGGATAAAACCTTTCTGACTTCTGTATTTGTGTTCTGGTTATTTTGCTTTATGAAAGTTACAATACGTCCCATTTTCTTCCATCGTCATTCAGCTGTTGGTTTGGATCTAAAGGCTGAACATCCTCATCAGCTTGTGTACAAATTCTCAGCGTCGCAGATATCTGTAATGATTTTTAAGAGGTATAACGTCACACACATGATTTGGTGCTGAAGAAGAACATGAGAAAGTGGAGAGAGACAAAAGAGAAAGATGGAAAATGAAATAAAGAATGAAGCGGTAGATGAAGAGGTGGTAGGAAAGTAGAAAAGGAAGGTGACAAAGAGAGAGAGAGAGGGCAGTTCACAGGGAGGAGGGGTGACTACAAAAAGCCAGGGCCAGTAAGTTCTTCTTCAGTGCTCCCCTCTGCAGCAGCCCCCGCCAGGCTTTCCGTGTCTTCCACTATGGCCTCCTACAGCTCCTCAGCCCAAACCGCCTCCTCCTACCGCCGCCACTTTGGCCACGGAACCTACGCCTCGCCCTCCCTCAGCCGCTCGCTGCTGGGCCATAGCGGCGGTGGTGGAGGCCACCACTCCTCCAGGGTCTATGAGGTGACCCGGAGCAGCTCGACACCATCCTACCGGGTCTCCTCCAGCTCCTACGGGAAGCCCCTGATGACATCCCGGGCCTCCGTCGGGCGCTCCTACGGCGGCATGGGCGAGACGCTGGACTTCAACCTGGCCGACGCTGTGAACCAGGAATTCCTGACCACGCGGACCAACGAGAAGGTCGAGCTGCAGCACCTGAACGACCGCTTCGCCAGCTACATCGAGAAGGTCCGCTTCCTGGAGCAGCAGAACCAGACGCTGGCGGTGGAGGTGGAGCGGCTCCGAGGCCGCGAGCCGACGCACATCGCCGACCTGTACGAGGAGGAGATGAGCGAGCTGAGGAGGCAGGTGGAGATCCTGACCAATCAGAGGTCACGTATAGAAGTGGACCGGGACAACATGGTCGACGACGTGGACAAGCTCAAGCTCAGGTGGGAGGGGCAAGACGGCGTGTGTGTTTCTTTAAGAAGAGGAGTGTGTGTGTGTTAAATGGTTCAGAGTAGATTTGTGTGTGTTGATGTGTGTTTGTAAGTGAGAGAAAATCAGTGTGTGTAAATATCTGACTAATAATTAAAACATTCCATTAAATTCAAAGTACAGATACCCTCACATTTCAAATAGACTGATGCTTATGAAGACATTCCTCAGGTTTACACCAGTCTGCATCTTAAATGTGAGTTAACAGTGAGCTCTAATTCCTGCATGTAGTCGTTGTCCTGCTGAAGGGCCCATGAGCAAAACACTGAATCTAAAACTGCTGCAAACACTGATCTTCTAGTTTCTTAACCTAGAATAGTCTCTGGGATGCTGATAAACATGATGGATGATGTGTGTGTGTGTGTGTGTGTGTGTGTTACTGCTCCCCAATTCTTACCAAAGTCAGAGCTCATCACACACACACACACACACACACACACACACACACACACACACACACAGCATGTTTACACTGTCCTCTTCTATAAAAGGAGAGGAAAGAGCTCCCACATATCTGAAGGACCTCTAATGATCTGTCCTCCCTCTCTCTCTCTCTCTCTCCCTCTCTCTCTCTCTCTCTCTCTCTCTCTCTCTGGTTTACATTAAGTGCCAGTGCTAAAGGTTTAGAGAGGAGACATGCTGCTGTGATTCATTATTAAATAAAAAAGAATCACTGGAAGGTCCTTTAAAAGGGATTTTAGAGAGTTCTCACTTCTGGGTTTTAATACTGTTGTATTTCTGTAACATTAAGTGAGACTTATTATTCATAATGATCTGTTCACAGGGTTACAACATCATCACTATTACTTTCTTCTTTCATCACATCCCAGAAGATGTTGATGTCTTTAAGATCAGATGTTTTACCAGCAAAATCATTTTCCAAACATTGTTTATTTCTCAGATGAAACATTTAAAATGTTACTCAGGACCTTATCATCCACTGAGAATGATCTGCTGAATATGAATAAAATGCATTCAAACAGCGAACTCAAAAACTACAATGTCCTTCATGGTGTCATTGTCTCTCATCACTTCAGACTCCAGGAGGAGATGCTCCAGAAAGAGGACGCAGAAAACAACCTGGCTGCTTTCAGGGCGGTGAGTCCCTCGTGCATTACTGTTGGTACTGTGTACTACTACAGAAGTATGTACAAGTACTCCGATCAACAACATGCTTCTTCTCTCGCCGGACATGAATAACTGTATTTTAAACATGAGGGGGACAGGATGTAAATGGTTCAGTAAACTGTTGCAGGATGTGGATGCTGCCACTCTGGCTCGTCTGGACCTGGAGAGACGCATCGAGACGCTGCAGGAGGAGATCGTGTTCCTGAAGAAGATCCACGAAGAGGTGCTCTCTTCTTCTTCTGTTTCTGTCTCTCTGCTCACAAGTGCAAATATTATACATGTGTCAGATAATGCACAGAGGATCGTCTCAAGATTATTAAGGGTACAAATATCAAAGGGTTTGTTTGATTGTTTCCTGTCTGTTGAGTTTGTGTTCTGTGTGACTGTTCTGCATTTGTCTGTTAGTGTGTGTGTGTGTGTGTGTGTGACAAACAGATTGTAGAAGTATACAGTTTCACACTCAAAGCTTGTATGTTGGCAGCAGGCCTGAGCAATGCTGCAGCAGATCACTGAAATCTCCCACAGCAGATGTCCTCCTAAAACGACTCTGTGTAGCAGTGGACGTCCACGTCACTGAGCAGCAGAGGCCTGTAAGCTGAGACGCGTGTGTGAGTGTGAGTGTGTGTGTGTGTGTGTGTGTGTGTGTGTGTGTGTGCGCAACCAGCCTGGACACTGATAAGACTCGCTACATGATGCTGAAGAGTGAGAGTGATTACTGGTGTTTCTGTAGGATTGGTATCAGGTGGCACAGGATGAGCAACAGTCACCACTGCTGAGCAGGGAAGTGTCTCATGAATACTTGGACTGCATTGAAGGCTGATGTGAGGAGTTTTAGTCGGGCTAAAAGGAAATCAAGTTGCAAAAATGTGCAAAGAGTAGAGCAGTAGTACTTTCTGAGGTGTTACCAGCCTGCTTTACTCTAATTCCCACATGTGCACAAACCAAACACATGCATGCAAAACTAATCCCTTCAGTGCCCAGCCTCCTCTCTCCCTCCTCCTCCTCCTGCAGGAGATCCGCGAGCTGCAGATGCAGATGCAGGAGTCTCAGGTGCAAATCCAGATGGACATGTCTAAGCCGGACCTGACGGCGGCGCTGCGGGACATCAGATCCCAGTACGAGGGCATCGCCGCCAAGAACATCTCCGAGGCCGAGGATTGGTACAAGTCGAAGGTGAGAGATATCACTGCGACATGGTGGGTACTTAAAAGATTACCATGTGGTGTGACCTTTGACCTTTGTCTCTGCAGGTGTCCGACCTGAACCAGGCGGTGAATAAAAACAACGATGCACTGAAGCAGGCCCGCCAGGAGACCATGGAGTTCAGACACCAGATCCAGTCCTACACCTGCGAGATCGACTCGCTCAAAGGCACCGTATGTCACACACACACACACACACACACACACACACACACACACAAAGATGTATGAGCTGTCCAAGCTGTGTCTCACTTCAGATTCGTCTCTTTGACAAACCCAGAATGAGTCCCTGATGAGGCAGATGAGGGACATGGAGGACCGCCACGGTCGCGAGGCCGGCGGCTTCCAGGACACCATCTCCCGGCTGGAGGCGGAGATCGCCAACATGAAGGACGAGATGGCGCGCCACCTCCGGGAGTACCAGGACCTGCTTAACGTCAAGATGGCGCTGGATGTGGAGATCGCCACCTACAGGAAGCTGCTGGAAGGGGAGGAGAGCAGGTGATGCTGGAGTCCAGGAACAAAGACGAGTTTCAAGTCTTTTATATTTTGACTTGTTTTAAGACAAAAAGGATTTTAATGTTCAGTTCAAGTTAGAACCAAATTACAATCTGGTTTTAAAAGCGTGTTAAAAACAATTGCAGCCTTAAAACAATATTTTATCCAAATTAAATTGCAGAATCATAGTACTGAAAATAAATAACATTTGTATTTCCGTCTTTGCAGGATTACCTTGCCTGTGCAGAGCTTCTCCACCCTGAGCTTCAGAGGTACGAACACACCTGCTGTAACCCGAACACACCACTAGAGGTCTGGAGTCTGTCCTCACCCACAATGCAGTTCACCTGCAGATGGAGCTTTTACCCCTGATTCATCATCATTTAAATGGCATCATATGATTCCAGCAGAAGCACAACGTGATCAAATAAGCAAAACAAAAAGTCTGAGTAATTGTGTTATTGATCTGTGGTTGATTTTAAAGGTTAGATTAGTTTATCTGTTCTGCTTCAGAAACATCAAAGTGCATTTAAAAGTTCTCTAACATGCAGATCCTCATTATATTTTAGGATGGTTTTAAACTTGAATATATCTGCATGTGTCTTTAGCTTTAAACAACATATTAGTAGCCTCAGTGGGATGTTGATGATGATATTTTCTTCCATGCGTTTGAACAGAGACCAGCCCCGAGCACCAGCAGCGCTCCTCTGAGCTGCATTCAAAGAAAACCGTTCTCATCAAGACCATCGAGACCCGCGATGGAGAGGTAAACACACACCGACGAGCAGCAGTACTGCAGGAGATACGTGTACAAAATCAGCTTTCATTCTCTTAGTTCTTATGAAATGTATTAAGTACTTTTACTTCCTGCCAACTTTGTTCGGATTCATCTCAATGAGCTCAGTCTTTCCCGTCTTTCTTCCATCATCGACTAAACAAAGGAACTTATGTCTTTAAAAAGCTCTGAACAAAAGGATTCAGGACTCAGTAAAGATCAGTGAGACATTTTTAAACGACTCTATTTTTCACATATTGACTGTTTAATCTCTCACTTTTAAACTAATGGGTCTACAGTTATATTGATCCATTATGGGTCAGTGCTCACTTTCAGTTCATTCTGCACTTAACAGCCAAAGTAGTCAATTCTCTGCACTGAATGCAAACAGCTATATGAACAATATCTACTGATTCTACAAGCTCAATATGCACCCATGACCTCTGACCTCAGCATTTAGTTTTCAGCTGTGACACTTGAGTATGAAAGAGTGGGGACCAGGCGTCACGGCATTGTGTTTGATGTTTTTTCACATTACTCCGGAGGTCAAACACACCTAAACAACGTGCAGCGACTAGTTGAGCTGAAGAGTGCATCCAAACATCCGGTCCCACCAGCGTGGAGACACGCGACACCCGCAGCTTCTGTGGAAAACATACATCGCAGGCGTGTTACGACAGGTCATGGCTGCTCTTCTCCCCCTCAAGAAAGATCACATCCAAGGAGATCCTGGAGAAATTAGTTCTCATTATTTTCCTCAGACATCACACACTGCACAGAGCTCTTCTACTGTAACATAGAAGAAGCTTTTCTTCAGACAGAGACCCGTGACCTGATTCCACACAGTGTCTTTATCTCTCTCCAAGTGTGTTTTATATCTTTTAAAGTCCGACTGTTGTGTTTCCTGCCTTCCAGGTTGTCAGCGAGTCGACGCAGCACCAGCACGACATCATGTAACGATCTGCAGAAGAGAAGAAGAAACAACAAGAAACAAGAAAAGAAGCGCAAATAAAACTTCAAGAAAAAGACTTCACAGACTCATGACTAAGGCCTGCACTCTCCTGGTTTTAAAGCGACTGCAGTGTGTGAATGTAAAGCAGAGTGATGGTGTCATTAACGTTATGTAGCTCTGCTTCGTGGTGTTTTTAAGCTGGATACAACATGCAGGACTAACAAACTCCTCAGAGACATTTCTGAGATGAACCGACACAAACCGGATTGTTCTTTGAATTGTCTGCATCTTGAATTAAGAAAGAAGAAGCTGGGTCAGACTTGAGATACGATTGAGATCTTTTGAGGTGTTTCTGCAGAATACAGCATCTTTGCATCTGAAGGAGGTAAAAAGAGTAAAAGCTTTTTCAAACGGTCTACAAAATAAAATACTCTGGTGCTGCACAAACCTCCTGATCTGCAATTTAAGTTAAATGTCACAGAAACAATCTGTTTCACATCAATCCTCTGCTTCTGCATCTCATTTCTTACCACGAAAAGTGTGCAGACGGATCCGAACCCTCATCTTTAATACAGGTTGTTCTTCTTTCTTCTTCTTCTGGTTTCTTCCAAACACAGCAGCTTCTGTCCTGTTCCTCAAGGTCAGAGTCACAGTTCTGTCCAATGAGAACGTACGAGTGTGTTTATCAATGAAGAGCAGATAAAGAGGAGGAGGTGGAGGAGATTAAAAGGAGATGAAGCTGGAGATACTGGAGGAGAGAGGTCATGTGAGGTAGGAGAGAGAGAGGAGGAGGAGCGGCTGTTTTCAGGAGAGGAAATCTTTTGTGGCTTTTAAATATTATTTGCTAATAAAAAGTGGATTTCATGTTACAGCTGATGTCTGCATGTCTCTGAGTTGAAAGACGACTCACACACACACAGATCAAATACAGGCCCATAAGAACACATGCTTTAATAATTATAGTCATAATTAAAGTTCTTAAAAAAAGCATGGAGTTACTGGCCTACAGTGATGACATCGCTCTCTCCTTTACAGAAATAAATACATCTGAAAATAAATACATCCCACTTGAAAAGAACAATTTAGATTCTTAAGAAAAGAAAGTTTAAATGGAATGATAGAAATAACAGAACAGGTTAGTAGTGCTGTGTTTTATGTACAAAGTTCACATGGATGCACATGAGGGCGGAGGGTGTTTGGTGGGGGCCAAGACGAAGCCACGCAGGGCGGATCGGGGTGAGGTCATGCATTTCCGTTTCCTACGGTTGAATAAAAACGTACCATACGCCCCCCCCCCCCCCCCCCCCCCCCCCCCCACATCTGCTTGCTTTAACTATAAAAAGGTAAAGACGGTAAAGTATTCACATTTTCACTGGTGACAGAAATGTTCTGTTGTCCCAAATAAAGAAAATCAATGCACACGATGGAAGGAGCTGTTGGTCTAAGTACAAGTTGGTATGGCCACTCGTCCACTGCTTTCATCCAGACTCTCTGAGCCGTATTTACACTGGCATCTCAGCCGGGAGTCACATTTATAATATCAATAAATAATAATCCTGCTAGCTTTGAGACTCGTGGAAGACTTTTAGCTTCTTCTGCCAGAGCAACTGGAGCTAAAGAGTGGACCTTCTACACACTGGCAGACATATCTTTCATCTGTGCTTATAGAGTAAAAACCTCTCTGCTCAGCATCTTAAATAATCTCTTGGAGGAAACAGTCTGGGATGAAGTTCAGGTTGTACAATAATCAGGGACATGGTTTCCAAACCGTGAGTAGAATCTCAGAGGAGGTGCCAGTGTAAATGTGGCTCTCTTGCTGTCAGCTAAAAACAAATCCTCCTCATATATCCAGGCATCTGTGAAGACAACAAGCCAACTCCACTCCAACAACATGATTTGACCCTGCTTGTTGTAGCTCTATGGCTACCCGCCTGAAAATCCTTCACATTTAATGCAAAAACAAGCCATCGATGGGAGATCTGCCAGTAACCCCCCTCCTGTTGCTGAGTGGTACAGTCCACAGAGGGGCAAGGCACCCGTTCAAACAGATTCCCTGGCCGTCTGAGAGCAGTTTGAAGCTTGAAGAAGTGTATCGTCCAGCACCAAGGGTGACGAAGGGTTTCCCCTCTTGAAAGATGTCCCTCCCCATTTCAAGGACGATTTGTTTGTAGTCCAGATGGCACAGAAAGCAAATAAAAGATCCCGGTTTGCATTTAAGGGCCCTTACTTCCCTTTACAGATGAATCTTTGTTGGACACCTACAGGCTGAGGGACTAGTTGCTTCTGCACCATCAGCTCAGAATCATCAACAGCAGTAGAAACGACAGCAAGGTTGTATTTAGATGCCTGCGTTTGAACCTGAGGCGGTTTTGCACTGAAACTGAGATCCCTGATCTGGTTTGACTTGAGATGGTGACAAACAGGCCGAGTCCAGGTACAGCAGGCTACTTCAGGTTTCCACCCCAGCCCTTAAGATTGTAGCTGCGGTGTGTGTTTGTGTGAGTGCATGCATGCATTTGTGCATTTTAATCTACTGAAAGACAGTGAAAAAGAGGTCAACCAAGCCTCTGCACCACACTGATTGCTCCAGCAGGTAGCACAAGGAATGCTGGGCTTTATAAACTAAAATGTAATTAGTAAAGGGTTGAACATGTTTTGCATTTTGGGTAAATCCAGCCCTAAATATATTTTCATTCTTAGGGGTGTGGCTAAACCCAGATTACGTTTGAACCCAGTTAGTCCTTGCACAGGTGTGATTGCAGAGTCATGTGTCTCTGTGGTAGAGTGGTGAGTTCAGGCCTCTGGGAGGCGGGGGACCGGTCAGACACGCAGGGAAGGTCCTGCAGCTCCGGTGAGGGGCGTCGTGGAGCCGCGGTCGTAGCCCACATCCACCACGGTGTGCGGTCGGCCAGCCAGCCGGCTCGGGATCGGCTGCACCTGCACCTGACGGTCTCGGAAACTCTGGATGTAGCTCTGGAAGGAGCAGAGAAAGAGTTTGGTTTAAAGGAGGATGTACAGCAGCATTGCAGGAAGCAAGACACAAAAAAACAACAGACATAGATGACAGAAGATGAGACCCTCACCGGCGAGAGGACGTCCGTGTCGTAGCGGCGGATGGGGTTGGGCTTGCGGCGGTAGGCGGGCTCAGTGTGAAGCTGCTTGGCCTGGTGATGGTTGGAGGTGGAGCCGTGCTGCTGCTTCTTCTTCTTCTTGTTGCGATAGCGATCGTCCCGCTGACGAATCCGCATCACCTGCATCCTCCTCTGCTGCCGGCTGATGATGACTGTGGAGCGCAGAGGGAGGGCGATGAGGAGAAGTTAGCTAGCATTTGCTAATAGCTTTGTAGATGTTTGAGCAGCTGAGGGTGGAGCTAGTGCTACTTTTTCATCATGATGTGCACACTTAGCTTAAACAGCTACAATACTTATAGTTTAAGAGACATGTCCAACAAAAACAACGAGTTTTCCTCACCCTTGGTATGAGAGTATCCCTCAGCAGTGACCTTCCACTGGACCATGACCCCCAGCAGGGTGAGGGCAGGCCACACCCCGAGCACCACCCACGTCAGCCAGCACACGGGCTTGCCAGGTGCCGCTTTCAGTCGCTCGTACGTGTACAGCACGAGGGCGAAGAGCTCCACGAAGTAGTCCACCGCCACAGTGATGACAGCTGCACCGAACATCGCTGTGGACAGCGTGGTAAAGAGGCGCTGCCACTGCAGCGTGAGCACGGCGAACAGCATGCCCAGGCCAAGCAGCACGGCCAGGGGCACCCAGACAGAGCGCGGCGGGCTGTCGGTAAGCTCCTCCATGCCCACCAGGGTGGCCACAGCCACCAGCAGGCCCAGCAGCAGGCCCACCATAAAGAGGCCCACGCTGCGGACCAGCATTGTGACCAGGCCGCAGAGCGTGCCGATGCCGAGGCCGATGCCCACCGAGGCCTCCAGGCTCAGCTGGGTGTCCAGAACGCGCTCCTTGTAGCAGAGCATGAAGATGACGACAGAGCCAAACATCAGGCCCGTCAGGAACATCACCGCTTTGAAGCAGCGGTAGCCTGAAATGAGAGGAAGAAACAAAGGTTTCAGGGTTGTAGCTTCACGAGTAAATCAACCACACAGACCCAGGACTCACCAAAGAAGCAGTAAATGATGCCGAAGAGACAGCACATGGAGCAGACGACAGAGGGAACCACGTTGTAGCGGCCACCAACGTCCTCGCAGCCATCCAGGCGCTCTGGACTCAGCTCCTGGTCGGGCCGGGCCAGCATCATCTCCAGGGTGGTCGTCATTGTGAACAGGAGGAGAGAGGAGGAAGGGGAGAGGAGGTGGGGGGGGAGGAGGGGTGACCAGGTGGGAGGCTAGGGAGCACCACACAGCCACATGGTTTCACCTGAGGAGAGAGGGCAGGAGAGAGGAGGAGGACAGGGTCAGACGAAGCAGGAAAGGGATTTGGAGGAGCGGAGGAAGTATCACATTTTATATATGCTCATTTATTAACAGACTCAAATGATGTGGACTCAACAGGGGCCGTCTTTACAGCGAGTATCATGATCAAAACCTTCAGAGAAACACTACTTCACCACATGAACCAAATTCACATGATCCTTTGTCCATTTGAACAGATCGTCATGGACGCTCTAAGGCAGACCGCTCTCTAATCCTGGAGGAGGGAGAGTCCTTGAATGCACCATCATGACATTCACAACATTGAAGTTTGACAAAATGTCTGCATGTTGATTAAAGACAACAGACGAATAGAAACCAATCGTTAAACTGGTGGTAGAGTCTGAACCAGGCTTTGCAGGTTTATGTGATTTAAATCTAATGCGCTAAACTATGAAAACCCAGCAGCCAACAACACAACCCGCTCATAAAGTGGCTTTCCAACCTGCAGCAGAGCAAAACAGGTCTTGTTTCGTGTCTGCACATACACACACAGTTTGGCATCCCCCCCCCCCCCGATGGCGGAAGCAGCCGATAATAATAGCTCAATAACAGCGTGTGTTTGAGCAGGCGGACGAGGGCAGTCAAAGCCTCGCTGTGTTTGAGGCCTCCAGGACAAAGCAAACACATTCATCTCTCCTCAGCAGTTCAATCATGAAGTATCTCTCACCTAAAATACAAGATCAATAATCTCACAGAGTTGGTTCTTTATGGTGCTAAACCTTTGTGCTGTGATATTGTTTAGCGTATTGAGAGTATTTATTTCTTCTTCTGTGAGCTTCTCCTTTGTTTTGCTTCTTCTCATCGATAACGTTTCTTGTTCTCCATCTTGAGCTTCTCTCCACATGCTTTGCATCCTGTTGTTTCGTTCCCTGCAGCTCGTCTCAGTGACTTTATTTTATCTTTGTTTAGTAAATCCTCATTGTGATTCATAACGTGCTGCAACTAGTTTCCTTCTTTGCAGCCTTTCCTCACCTACTTTCCTCCGTTTACGTCTCCGAATACATTTGCTGGACTTTGTCCTCGTTTGTATTTTGAACGTCAGGGAGCTGCTAAATCTGCTAAAACACTGAGATCCTGAACGAACACAGTGCTGAAATCATTGATTAGCGTGAAAAACAATCACTTTCATGGCTGTTAGAATGACGTCTCTGTGTGTAAACTCGTGTTTGAACGCATACATCCATTTAACTAAATGTTTGCGGTTGGCTTGAGTGTTTTAAGGGAATTTTTTAAGGGAACATGCATCATGTTTTGATGTAAAATAGTACTATTGTTAGGTCAAAAGGTGCATGCTAATTTAAATAAAACGATTCCACTTATTATACTTATTATCACTCACGTGCAAATGACTTCTTCATTTCTGAGTAGCCTTGATTCACTCAGCGAGACGGACTAAATGCAGGAAACAACTCGTTCAAACAGTTAATTCTACATCAACTGTTGACAGAAGCTTTTGAATAGAAACAGAATAGAAACAGACAGTAGAAGCTGATGAATAAAGCCTCAGAACAACACTCACACACACTCTTTCTACATTTTCAGACATATATTAATAATCATCTTTTGGTGGAGGATTAGCCGGGTGACCCTGTGTGTGTGTGTGTGTGTGTGTGTGTGTGTGTGTACTAAGCCGGTTTGTACCGCAGATCAACAACGTGCAGTTTTTATGTTTGCAGATGGATGAGAGAGAGAGAGAGAGAGAGAGAGAGAGAGAGAGAGAGAGAGAGMGAGAGAGAGAATAGACACGTTTCTTCTTCTGCTGTCCGAATCAGCAGCAACAACAACACCGTGTTCTCCTCCTGCTTCCTGTCTGTTGCCACAACAACGGAGGGATGCTGACAGACCAGTCGGTCGGTCCGAAACCTGACCAATGGAGGAGCAGCTTAAACTCCCGTAGCAACAGTGTGAGAGCCAATCAGTGGCCCCGTCTGTTCTCTCTGAATGTGTTCATGTGTGTGTGTGTGTGTTATAAATGCTCCTATAGAAACCCTTTAATTCATAGATAAACTATGACAGAGTGAATCTGCATGTTTTCAAAAACATTTCAAGCACAAAATCATAAGTCTGATAGTTTATTGTATAATTATTCAACAACTATTTTCAGAATCTATTGACCGTTTTAATTTATTAAAATAATTTTTCCTCAAAGATTTTTGACGAGTGGCCATAAGTGATCAGAATGACGTCTTCTATAACGACTATAAGGAAGTAAGGAAGTCTTAGTATTTCCTCATGTCCGTCGTATCTTCACTCTCAGTAACGATCGGCTGACCGGCTGCTCCGAGCGTCTACAGAAGGTTAAATTAACAGCGACCGTGTCGACTGACAGTGGCTTTGGATGGACGGATGTGACGGTCAGGGAGAGGACGAGCTCTCCTCTGCTGTGACCGTCCGTCAGCCGGAGATTAAACGCCATATTAATCTGAATGCAGCTGATTTAAACGTGATGCAAAGAATCTCGTCTCTATTCGTCTCACAGCAGACAGATCAATTAACTGAACAAGTAAAACCTGTCTCCCCTCACACACACACACACACACACACACACAAAGAAAATGCAGTTATAGTTGAAACTGCTTGTGGATCAGTCAATAAGAGCCAGACACACTGACACAGATCAGGCTGAACTGGGAGAGACAAAGCCTTTCCATAAATAAAGAACATGTCTATTAATACACAGAGTGCACAGACTGATGGAGAACAAGATGTTGTAGATCTGACCCACATGTTTAAGTCGGACAACAGCTCAGAAACATCTTAAATACATCGAGGTATTAGATTCAGTCATTCAGTTAAGAAAGACAAATTCAAGGTTGATGCATTCAAGTGTCAGGTGAGAAACAGTGATGCGTTCATGAGCTCTGTTGTCTCACAATCATCCAAAAGACTGATGACAAAACGAGGCAAACACTGGACTTTAAGCCGGACTCACGAACAAACAATATTCCCCTCGTAGCTGAAAGAAGTAGAGTCTAAAGATGGAGACCGTCTGGTGACGTAGCAGATCTGCACTAAAATAAATGTACTTTCTGCTTTAAAAGACTTTAAAAAGCTGCGTAACACAAGCAGAGGAGGAGACGTGATTCATTTAAGTCCTGAGAGCCTTTTAGTGGCACTACATCCGTACTTCACTTGTTCAGCTTCAGCCCGTTAGAAGAATCTAACTTTGTGTGATGTTTTCTGTCTCTTGATCACGCTCAGCGCTTTCATTCTGTGCAAACCTCAGTGTCTGCTCAGTGTAACGAGGCTGTGCAGGTTTCATAACCCTGTGACTCATGAAATCTGTTCCTCATGCTTTTATTTAAAGAGACTTTGTTCTCCTCTTCTCTTCTCTTCTGCTGGTGATAAAAGCTTCTCGAGGGCCCGAGGAGCAGACATATTCACTCATAAGAGCTTCATTTATGCTGCTCACAAAGCTGTTATGTTTAATAGCTTTTCACATGCAATAACATTTTAAGACTTGTGAAGTGTGTGAGCGACACCCAGCTGTGTTAACCCTCCAGACGCCGGGCGATGCTCTCCGACTCTCTGGTTCATCTTCAGCCAATAGGAAGGCAGAAACTCCTGTGACCTCATCAACCGGCGTCTGACACCACGTTCACCATGTAGTCTGATTGTGTGAATCTGGTGCCATCAAAGCACTGGTTTAAAACTTAAGGTCTGTGTTGAAGTGAACAAAAGCACAACTGCAGAATGACTAAAGAGATCTTTCACAGAGTTAAAAACTTCATATGAGACCATCTGCATCAAGTGTCTCAACTCACCATGTGTCACGCAACAGAGTTCTCCGACATGAAAACGACAACAACGCGACTGTGTGTGTGTGTCACAGTCGTGACTGACGCCGAGGCCTCTATGCCGGTGAGTAACAGGAACGAGGAGCGATGTGACACACGACCAACCGGCACGGCTGATCCTGGACCTGGTCCTGTGAGAGGATCCAGTTTATCCAACTTCCTGTTTCTAACCAGAACACTTTCATCCTCGAATCAGCACAAATATGCAGGAAAGCTGCAGCACAGAAGTCTTTAACTTCACTGAATGCCTTCAGAGATGATGAGGTTAGCCTCAGAGTCATATGTTACGCCCTGAACACTATATTCTTATTTCCTAAAGCCCCACAAACAAACACTGAGTGTTTCCATGTAAGAAAGCATCTGAACATGAGATGAGGCTTTGTTTCATCTGATGGGGTTTAAAGCATAAAGAGAAGAGAGAGATGGAAGAAGACGCCAGCAGCCTTCCCACCATGCTGTGTTACGTAACTCCTAATGCATGACTCACTGCACTTCAGCTGCTTTCCAAATCTATTTGCATTGCCAACGATTCACATAATTCAAAACAAGGACAAACATCCTCGTCTTCTCAAACGCTTCTGTGCAACGTGGAAAGAAACGGTTCACATTCACAGAAACATACGGATTATTCCTTTAAGTTCCTTTTCTTCTGACATCTGTGATAGAATACATGTTTAAACTGATGTAGGGCTGCAACTACGTCCACCTTTATTATTGACTAATCGATCTATTAGTGTCAGAATAAACTGCAACAATTTCCCTCGAGGAATCATTCATTTGTACAAATGAAATGACAAACAGACTGAACGCTGACGCTGAAAGCTGATAATCATAATATTGAATCACTGCATCCAGTCTACATCACCGCTGCATCTTAGACTCAGACGAGTAGAATGTGAAGTCATGAAGCTCCAGACTGAATCTGCTCCATCACTGACCTGAGAAATGTGATCGAGGCTGCAACACGTCCTCACCAACAGCCTCCCGTCCCTCTCCCCGGTGTCTGAATGATGCACACAGACCTCTCTGTCTCTCAGCGCTGTTCACGAGCCGTCCGAGGTAACAGGCTGGTGGGAGAGTTTGCCAAAAACAGGCCCGTTCATGACGAGCTCAGAGCGAGCTGCCAGAGCCGCTCTCACAACCTCAGCCTCCGGAGAGGTTGTTGTCATCAATCGTCCTGCAGCTAACCTGGAACACCAAGCGCCCCCCTCAGCACATGTCAATCAATACGGGCCGGGGAGGCAGGGGAACGTGACCATGGGATCATTGCATGTGTTTGTATGGTGTGTGTGTGTGTGTGTGTGTGTGTCGTCACGTGTCTCCGTCAGACAGAAACACTTCAGGTGGGTTAGGACACAACAGATCTTCTGCTTTCCAGGGAATGTTCCCAACAGGAAGGTAAACCCAGTCTTTAGGTTGATTGTGGGAAAAGAATGCCGTGACTGTTGTTGGTCGTGTCCAGACTGTCTGTCCATCAACAGTACTCTTTCTGCTGCACGATGAAAAGCTTTGAACTGATTTAGCCCGAGCTAATGCTGAATAATCTCTGTTCAGATCCGAGTGTCTGTCGGCGCAAAATCAAACCAAAAGCATCAATAACGTTAGAAATAAATAGTCCTCAAACTTCACTGGAAGAAGGTGACTCACACGAACAGGAACAACATGTCGTGACTCCGGCGGTCGACGACTCTCACCCACAAACACCCACCCGACTCCGGGAGATCAGGCACGACCGCCGGCACCGGGAGGCCGAGGCGTCCTCACACCTCCTCAGAGGAGCGGGTTACATAAGGCCGCTGCTCCAGTTCTAGAGAACACGTGTGGCTGCTGTCATTTCCTCCGATTGGACGGAATGTGGAGAATCTGCCGATGGGGAAGCGTTGAGAGGAGGAGGAGGAGGAGGAGGAGGAGGAGGAGGAGGACACTGAGGTCTTTGTCATGTTGGACTCTGTTTTCTGCCCAACACACTGCTGAGAGCGCAGCATCGTAAACGTGGCTCTACACAAACTAAATTAGTCTTTAAAAAGGTCACAAAATAATCACAACTTCACAAAAATAAAGTCTTCAAATGTCAAAACCCAAAGATATTCAGTCAACAATATGACTGGAGAAGCTCATCTCTATCTCTTATTGAAATGTGTGATCTGTGTGGTTTGTTCATCACACACACACACACACACACCTGCAGGTTCCTCTCAGGTGTCATCAGACCTGCAGCAGCATGTTTCATTCATTCCAACGCACCCCTCCTCCAGAGGCCTCTCTGATGAACGCCGTGTTAATGCTGCTCAGTATGACTGAACATCCCCGGGCCAGCTCCCTGTTCTCCCCGTCCTCCGTCGCCCTGAGGGAGCCACGCAGGAATATCAATGATGTTTGTTCCCGGGGAGGAGAAAGTGAACCCAGTGTAGCACAAGAATGTTCAAATGAGAAGCCGATTTAACTTCACATGAGCAGACACAACCTCAGATCCACTTTGCTCATTTGAAGCCGGTCGGTTGGACGAACGGAAACATTTCTCTCTTTAGCTGGAAAAACTATTTAAATAAAAAACAAGAGAGCAGTTCACTCCAGCTGAAGGAAACAGACCATCGTTATGTTCACTTTTCTTTGTCTAATGATTGTAAACTGAGGTTTTGGTCGGACGTTTAGTTCCTCCTCATGTTTTCTGTGGTCCAGCAGGTCAGAGAGGTCGAGCAGCTGACAGGTGTCTCTCTTTCATGCACCACCTTCATCCTTCAGACACACCTGACTCTCAGCCTGTGAGAGGACATGAAGACATTCAGCAGAGAAAACCAATGAAGCCAATTTATCATCATAGCAGCAACCTCAGAACCATCAACAATCACTATTATGATTATGATAAACACCGCGGTCACAATCTGTGGATGAATTATTCATTTGATTCAGATTATGTGGCAGAAACACAAACATGTGTTCTGATTTCTGGCTCATCAGAAAACCAAATGAAGTCTGCAGCACTTCCACATGTGCGGGAAATAACCCATGATCCTCTCTGCTCGTCCTTACCCATGATCCTCTCTGCTCGTCCTTACATGCCACAGCAACAGTGCGGCTCGTGTGATCACACAACGGGGGGGGGTCGAACCCAATTATCTCTCGCTTCAATGCTTCAGCCACATCAGAGAACAATGAACCGCAGAAGTTTGTGCACTTCTCTTTCCATCTCTGCACTGGAGAGAATCTGGTTTGACCTCCTTTCATCATCTGAACTCAGCCGGTGCTTTTATTTGTATAAAAAGGCACCGCTGCCCACTTCCTGTCACGCTCTCAGTGAGAGCTCGATGAGAACCTGAAGAGTCCTGAAGCAGGAAGGAGCAACAGTTTTCAGCAGACTCCTCTCTGCACATGTCAGCTCCCACAACGCTGTGAACATCTGGCCTTCAGCAGCCTGCAGCTCGTCTCACACTCTAATGAGCCCTCATCGTGCACCCATCACTGCTGGACACGGGACCCTGAACGCCTCGTGGGAAACTCTGGCATGCAGATTCTCAGACAGACACAAATGAAACGTGAGAATGCAACGTGTGTGTGTGTGTGTGTGTGTGTGTGTGTGTGTTCCCATCAACAGTTGAAGCTCTTCATTTACTTGTTATACCAAACAACCAAACGTCTGGTACACGTGTAGTTCTGGTTCAAAGGCAAGTAAAAACACTAATATTATAACAATGTAAAGCAGACATGTTAGAACCATTACCCATTCATGTCTAGTTGCTGTATTCTGTTGTACTTTAACGTATGATAATCTGCTGGTTGTGACGGAGACTTGAGGTCGTATCATGATTTGAATGCAAAGAGTCTGAAATGTGAAAGCGATGATTCAACAAGAGGCACAAAGAGCTGGACCTGCAGCTGGATGTTTATGAGATCACAGAGACGCTGCAGCAGCCGGAGAATAAACCCAACAGCAGCCTCAGACAGGGGGGGGGGGGGGGGGGGGGGGGGGGGGGGCAGGAAGCGAGCAGCACCAAGCCGGAGATGTTGACCCAGTGGTGTTGTGGCATTTTCACTCCCCCGGCTGTCGAGCCGAGCCGCCTGACTGCACCGATAAGACGGCGACACACAGCGGACACACTGAGAGCAGCTGGAGGTCTGCAGTCTGTCTCACAGTTCTCGAGAGGAAACGCTTCTTTCACTTTGTCCGCTTCAGTTAGCAATGTCCTACGTTTCCCAGAATGCCTTTCAATGACCTCCAGGGAGCATGAATCCAGTTAACCTGCACTGGGTTACACATGAAGGTACAACAGGAAGAGTCTCTCGCTGCAATGCATTCTGGTCTATTTCCTCTCTGCTTGTCTGATGGATATTTAATGTTTGTGTCCAATAGCTTCACAGAGATCTGGTGCTGGCATTAAGAAGGCAGGAAGGGTTCAAATAAAAAGACAACTGAGCTGCATTATGGGACATGTAGTGTTGAAGTTTAAACCTTTATTAGCTGCTTCAATTTGGACAATTCCTTTGGTACGTTTGGAGCCTTCCATCAGCTGTGATGTGTTTTAAAATCATAAACACACACACACACACACACACACACAGAGTCAAAGTTACTCTGCAGAAGAAGAACACATTCCTCCATCACCGTCTCCTCACTTTAAATGAATAAAGCTTCATCCAACACATCTCAGTCAGTGGAACGAGTCGACTGACTGATCTCTTGTCTGCAGAGCTCTAATTCTAGATTTGAGTAAATGAACCAGATTACATCTGAGTTATAAAGAATCATCAGAAAACACACTGACTTTAATAAACACCTTCTACACTGAACCACAGAGACGTGATGTTAACAGTGGTCCCTTCAGGGACCTCTGGGAGAAGTCAAACTCCAGACATCATCTACTCACGCGTCCATCCATCTGCTATAATGAGAAGCCATTGACTCTGACAGGATGATCGACCCAGATGCGACCATCCGGGTCAGACTTCAGCGACCTCAGCGTCCATCACGCGAAGCCAGCTGACCTCAATCCCAGTATTGTGCATCCAGCACAGCGCTGTCCCCGATGGAGCTGCTGCTCCGCTCACATGTCAACTCCTGTTCATTGTGTTTGACAGCAGGTGCGTGTGTGCGTGCGTGTCTGAGACAAAAGAGACGCACCGCGCGCGTATAAACAGGCCACTCACCATCATCCCCGACAGGTTGACGCGCTTCGTCCGCGCTCACATGATGCCAAAAGAAGCCTCCTGAGCCGGAAACACCGATCATTTTCAACGTTTTCTTCCCCGACTTGGGTGCATTCTCGTCGGCGCGGAGGTCCGTGTTTCCCCGGTAGCCTGCAGGGACGTGGGTCCCCAACTAGTCCTCCATGAGGGAAAACGCACAGAAACCGGGCTGGGAAAGAGGAACAACCCGGATTACATGTCGGATAAAAAGCAGATCTATGCGCGAATTATAAATGATGTGGTGGATCATCCAGACCGGAGCCCGGATGATCGGATGGATGGAGCAGCCTCGCGGTAACGCGGTGCGTCGGGTGAAGAAGTGGCCTCCGCTGCAAAAGATGTCGAGTCCGGACTTGTCATCGTCTGAATGACGTAAAGTGTGTTAGAGGAAGAATAAAGTCCGCACATTCCGCAGCGGCTCCTAGAGGCTGAGGTCTAAAAGACATCCCACAATATCAGCACGCTCTTTATTATGACTTCACACATATGATGTTCAACATGCATACATGCATCAGTGGAATGACACACTACTTTTGCTACATACTGCATTTATTTATTAATTGGTATTATTTAAATACCTGAGGAGAACTCTGTGTTTCTGCTCTCTGTGCAGAGGAAAGTCTCCTGAACGTTTACATCTTTTGCAGCGCGCGTGGCTGACGCATGAGATGAGCGGCGTCAAGCTACTCAAGGTTAGGACCACCGGAAGTGGAGATGTTTGAACTTCAAAATAATAAGCACACGTTGAGGACAAGCCTGGTGGTGCAGGGTTTATTAAGACTAAAGAAGCATCCTATACTGTTTATCATATTCTCTGGTACATGTTCACCAGTAACCACGTCAATGTGCAAACATCTGATTCCTGCAACACTACACTGGAATCAGATCAATAAAAACAAGTTTGGACCAGAAATGGAGTACGGCCTGCATGTCTTCTACACAAACTTTATTTAGCAACAATGACGACATATATGCAGTCAATCCCAGAGAGCAGAGTTGTACTTTTATTTGAGTCATGAGAATATCACACAGAGATTATGGTTCACAGAGGGTTCCACTTCATACATCCACATACGAGTTAGCATTGAAGTGAACACACGGAGACTCTTCAGAGTCTCTGTTTGGTGCAGAGCTTCCACTTCTTCACTGCTTTTACAGCCTCCTTTCCTTCCCTCGTTTCCTCTCGTCCTCCAACCTTCTTAAAGTTAAGTTCATGTTCAAATACAGCAGTGACCTAAAGATTAATTCAACAGTAAATAAAACTCGCTTCTGTTTAATGTAAAACCAGCTCTGTCACATCAGCCGATGGCTACGTTAAAATAATAGAGTTATGAAATCACGAATAAGCAACAAAAATAAACAAATCTGTGCAAAAAGGAGAAGTGAAGTTAAACAATGGAGGACACATTGAAGCGTTAGTTTCTGTCCTCATGTTATTCATTCAAATAAAGGATTTGTGTGCTGAATATACTTACAGGACAACAACCAGAGGCCGCCTCCCACATCCTGCTACACTAAGGTGTTCATTCAGTGATACTAGAAGAACGTGCAGACGTGTGCAGCTCCTTCACTCAAAGAACCAGGAGCTGCACACCTGTAGGACCTGTGATCAATTGTTTGCAGCCTGTGGCGCTGATCATCGTTAAGGAGGCGCTGCTGAGCCTCAGCGGCGCCCTCCTCAGGCTCGGGGCAGGAAGCGCAGGTTGATGGGCTTCGACGGGATGAGCAGGGTTCGAGTTTTAGGCTCCACGACCGGAGCGCCGGGTTCAGGCTGGACCTCGTAGTGCTGCATGAGCTGTAAGAGGACACAAAGGGATCAACATGTTACCAGTGAGGTTGTATTTGTGCCGGATTGCTCAAAAACCTGTGGACAGATTTAGACAGAAGTAACTCAAACATGTGCATCAAATACTAAAAGTTGACCAAGAAGAAGTCTGAGTGTCATCTGGACCAATGTGTCCCGTCTCTCCGTCTCTCACCCTGGACAGAGCGAAGAACATCTCCATCTCCGCCACCCTCTTCCCCACACAGCCCCGCACGCCGACCCCGAAGGGGAGGAAGCTGTACGGGTGATGGCGGTAGAAGCCCAGCGCCGCCCTGCCACAGACGGAGCCCGGCGCCTCAGCGCGGAGCCAGCGCTTCGGGGCGAAGAGCTCCGCGTCTACGAACTGATCTTCATCATGACAGGTGGCGTAGTGACACAGATGGAACTGAGTCTGGAGAGGACAGAGTTGAACTTGTCTTGTTATGAGCTTTGACGTTAAAGGAGCATCAGATCCTCGATCTGCTCTCATACCTTCTTTGGGAACCAGTAGTTCCCGACAACCACCTCGTCCTCCGAGACAAAGCGTCCGTTTCCAGGCACCACGGGATAAAGGCTGCAGGAGAAACACAAGCTGTGAGTCAGAGGCAGACGGCCTGCAGCATGCTGCTCCTGTTCACTTCATGCTGTAACAGCAACTACATGTGAACATGTGTGTGTGACTTATTGATATGCCTCAATGGATTTATCAGTATCACATGTACAAAGGACAACTCCAGCTGATCACAGGAGAGCTGTGATTCATCTGTACTGTTGCATCATCAGGACACAGTGTCTGCTCACCGTAACGTCTCCTTTATCACGGCCTTCAGGTACGGCATCCTGCTCAGGTCCTCTGTGATTGGCTCCCGTCTGTCGGGACACACGGAGCTCACCTCCCCGTACAGGCGGTCCTGGACCCCGCGGTCCCTCGCCAGGTGGTACAAGGCCCACGACAGGGTGTTGGAGGTCTGAGAGGAAGCAGATTATGGTCCATCACAGGCTGGAGAAGTCTTCACAATAGATGTGGAGACATTTCAGTTTGGGATGAACAGCTGATGATATACAAATATACACACAGTGTCGCTCTTTGTATTGTATTCATCGACCCAGACGTTGGTGTTGTTCCAAGTTGATACAATCTGTAAACTCTAGTCAAACAATGTTAGAATGATCCCGACTCAGAGCTCCAGGTTTGACCTCCAGCTGAAAGGACACCAACCAGCCTCAACCTGTTGTGGGAATGCAGCCAGATGAGCTGTGAGACGGCTCACAGGTGCAGCAGCTCAACCACAACCTGTTCCTGTTGTTGTGACTTCAAACTGACATGTTTTCTAATTCAGCTTCAACTCCCTGTGTCTTCCTTCATCTATCCTGCCATGAGGCATTCCTCCAAGAACAGGACATTCCTCCACCAAGAACCAGCCTGCTGGAAGTACTGTCTCTGCTGCTTCATACTTCTGCTGTACTACATCTCAAAGATATAATATACTGATACTGTACTACATCTCAAAGATATAATATACTGATACTG